CTCTTGATTTACAGGGGTAGACTATGTTTATTAGAGATTAGGGGAGCACTCCTGTTTTTTTTGCTTCATAGCGTCAGTGTTCCTTTTTAGATGTTTGCGAATTTCCTTATTATTTTATGGAGTTTCTTTATTTAAACCCCTAAATTGTCACCTCGTTTTTTTCTCTTTCAGACTATCAGCAAAAATTTCAGCTCAGTGTTTCGTCTTGTTAGTAAAGGATACCAATCTCATTAACCTCTTTGTGTGTTGTCTTTGCCTTCTTGCTGGTGAGCGCAAATCCAAGGGTAAGTGCGGCTTTAGTCGATCACACATTCAGCGTTTTCAAATTGCAAATGACTGATTCCATCATGGTTGCGCTACTCATTCTATTTTACTTCTACTCCTTTGATTCTGGTTCCAACACTTGCAACTGGCTCAAGGTTTGAAATGAAACACTATTCCTATTATTTTCACGTTTTAGAGGTCCGGAAACTCGTCTCATCACTTGAACTTCCTCACCTTCTTGAATGCTTCTCCAGTGATATGGCTGGATTGGACGCTGCTGCTGGCTCATGTACTCGTAGTGTCCTCGCAGCAACAGCGGCATGGTTGCGTGCAGAATCACAGCTCTCAGCTTGTCTGGATACCGCGGGCACTGACTCAGTGCTGGCACTGCCTCAAGCCTTAATCAAGCCTTTGAGCGTAGCTACTCTTGGTCTAACTGAAATTGACCTTGTTCCCTGTGTGGCCGCCTTTCTTAGTGCTGTTGGTGGTGACGAAGCCCTTCTTCGGCCCTTTGGTGCCTGCCTCTGCAACCTGATTACGCGTAGTTCAGATTACCGAATGCGGTTAGCTGGATTGCGGTTACTCAAACAAACTTTCGATACCCTGATGGAGGCCGGAGGGAAGGAAGCGTGTGTTGGAGGCAGCGGCGACCTTGGTTTGGCTGCCTGTCTTGTTCCAGATACGCTGGTTGCTCTATCCGAAGCCCTTGAGGACGATCGAAATGAGGTTGAGGCAGCAGCTAATAGTCTTTTTGCTGACTTGGAAGCAGTTGGCGTCACAGCTCAGAATAATGAGTGATTTCACTTGTCTGGAGTGATATGCTATTGTGTGAATGTGTACATAGCAGGCTATTGGAAAAAAAATTTTTCTCATTCATATTATCGAGCTTATTGATACACCATACTATTCTTGGTGAATGGACGGGCTTGTACGCCTTCATTTTGCCCTGTCTTAGGATGCATTTTATGGTAAGTGCTACTCAAGTAGCTGTTATTATCAATCTTCTGTCCCTGCCTTGATTGTTTGGTTTGAGTGATGTTCACTTTCATGTTAGACTCATGCCTCAGTTATACTCAGTTTAATGCCTAATCATGAATCTGTGTCGGCTGCTGTCTAAGCTTTCCGCGTCTGTGAACGGGTAGATTTCGATGTAGGGGTTTTGGATTGTTTTAAACACCAAATGTTACGCGTTGTTTTCATCGTTGTACATTGCATTTGTTCTAAACATGTGTATGATTGCTTCTTTTGGTTTGTTATTACTAAGAGGCTCTCAGCTAATAAGGTGATTTAAGGCAGACGTTGGGATTCGTTGCGAAAATTCATTTGAGAACCTGCTTGCCTTGATTTTAGTAGGTGAGAATTTGATCATTCGGTCTCAGGGTTGACGGTCTTGGACTTATTATCATGGTCCTTCTTTTTGACAAGTTTATTCTTGAGCTTAGAATTCTGTAAACCAAATTTCATACTGGCTGTAGAACTCCAATCGTTCAACTAGTAGTGTTAACTTACTTGTATTTCGTGGCTATCCAACACAAGCACTCACTGGAGTGGTGTACAGTGGATATGAATTGCTTAGAGCTCCTAATTGTTTGGTCTATCCGGCTTCCGGTTATAAAATGGAGCGTCCCGTCTTTCAGGCATACTTAAATCAAAATCGAGCATCAAATTGTACTGGGTTCTCTAAATTCGACCTTTCATAGCTCTTACATTTGGCTAACTGCACTTGTCGTTGCCCAATTAAAATCGGGATGCTACATGCAGGTCTAATCACCTAAGGCAACAGTTGGACTTTGGACTGGTTGTCATTACAAAAAGGTAAGATGGTCTCTGCCACAAGTCATGTAACGATGTGTTTGACGATCATCTACGGAATCATCGTCATTTTCGCTTGCGTGGTCGCAGTCCCTCTTGGTGAAGTCGACTCGAATCCGGAAGGACCAAACCAAATCGTCTATTTTGGTGCTTTTAAAGAAGGGGGTACCACAGGACCTTCAAAACTGCTTTGGTGGGTGGGTGAACGTCGCTTCTTCGAACCCAGCGTCTCCGGCTTTGTAACATTAGAAGGCACCGAAGCACCGAAGTCATCGTCAGTTACAACTGCAGTCGAAGGTACTGAAAACACTTCTGAAGTTCCAAAACTGCACTCCTCATTTGGCTCGGATTCTACTGCGAGGATGCGATCCACCTTCAGTCCACTACAAGTACATTACGACGACTACAACTATCCAAGTCTGAAGTCGTGATTTTATTCATGCCTATAGTTCCTCGATCTTACCTAAAGCATCACTTTTGAAGTGAATGGTTCAAGAGCTGCTTACTGTCCTATGATTTTTTAAAAAAAGAAAATATGAATTTTAACTGGTAGTTGTAAGCATTAGCTTACAAGGGACTAAATGCTTATAAATGAAACCTTTATGCTCATAAAATGTTTCTTTAGATTTAATAACAAAGCACTCTAAGGTGGGTATGTATTGTAACTCTTATGTTTTGAAATGCGGTTTCATCAAAGATCTAGGGCGGTCTCATTTTGGCGTATGAAATGTTTGGCACTGTTATAGCAGCCCCATGTTTAAAAGCATCCTCAAGGTGGACTTGTTGAGGACCGTATTTTGTAAATCTCAAGCCTTGTTTAAAGTGCTTCAGAAACGGGATGCATGATTTACAGCAGCTTGGCAGTGGCTTGTTCCACTCTTCTGGGAATGTAGTGGGGAATCTAGGCTATCAAATCACGAATGGTCTGTTTTCCTCGTGGGTTTCAGGCTTTAGACTAACGCCGTACAAATTTGGTATCCATAAGCCGACAGAAGGTCAACTTCAAACCAAGGCTGATCTGAGTATACGGTCGGGTTCTTGTACTTGTCTGCCTTTTTTAACTCCAAAAATGGTGCGATTGCACCAACTCTGTTTGGTCACTTATTGAATTGGAAAGGATTTTAAGATGCTAAATTGAATTAGTCTGGCAGTCATCCCCAGCTAATTTAGCGTCTGTACTTGTTCTTGATGGATCGTTGAGGCAGTTGATCGCTTTTATTGAGGAGTCTTGTTGTGATGTTGGCTGCATTAACAGCATTGCTACGCAGACTTATGCGATTACTGAAATACATCACCTTGCAAATCTAACATTGTAGGGTAGTGAGAACAGTCTTACAGAGTTGGCTTTATGTCCCGTGGATCTTTTCATCATACTGAGCTGATCAAACATAAATCCACTTTTAAAGGCTTTAGGGGATTTTTAATTGGAAAAATTTTAATTCCATTGATGCGTGTAGTGCAGGCTTATTGCGCTGTATATTAAGAGACGTGTACTGATTTTCAGACGAGAAGGATAAAAGCTGCTCGTAGAGCCTCGGTTTGTATACTTAGTAAAAATTAATTTGCATTCTTACTGCATAAAATTAAGAGCGTTCGCTGTCCAACCCCATCCCACTTCAATGTTTCATTAAGAATTCAACAGTGCGCATGCTGATCACAGTACAGGGATTTGAATACACGTCTTTGAACTGAGCGGAAACCAGGTTTGGGCTTTGAATGTGATGGTTTTCATCTTGGACTGACTTCTCAGCCGATTCATGCACAAGATACAGTGTTGGGCAAGTGGAAAAGTTGTGCATTTATGGAAACTTAATAATTCAACTGTACACGTTCCGCGTTGTATCACGTGATTCTCAGTGAAGAATTGCGTACTTTTGGTGCTATCAATAGAATGGCTTTAAATGAACACCAAAACGATAAACTTGCCACTCTAGGGAGCACTAGCAGGGTCTGTAACATTCATTTCACATGAGTACGAAGGGCGATTTTGCCAACAAATAAGTTGTTTTTCAGACATTATTCTTAATCCTCGGGAAAACTGACTGAGATACAGCATTTGATTAGTAAAGGTTTTTTTGCATTTTGACAAAGATTATACCTTCTTTGCTAAGTTTGCTTGCATTCACGCTGTCCCTCAAATTGAACTTCTGAGGGCAACCATACACGATGTGTGGCAGAAGCATCAGACCTTCGCATTGTGTGCTTTCGCCACGATGAAGAGACCCAAGCAATAATCAATGCTTAGCATTCACATCCAAAGGATTTAACTGAGTAAATGCATGACAGTTTCAAATCAACAAGTGACACATATCTGCTCTTACGTGAGAGGTCACGTCAGCCACGCCCTGCACGTATTCATTAAAAGAAAAATATCAACTAAATGAGTCCTGTTAAGTAGTAGCAAATGAAGTTTCTTCAATTACCTCATTAATTTTCTCCAAGAAATTCACTGGGGGGAGCAAGAAGAGGCTCAATTGTGGTAGTGCGGGCTCCGAATGAGGCATCTCTTCGACATTCTGTGACTTCTTGTGTCTTCTTTCAAAGTAATTTGTCTCTTGTGTCGCAAACTGGAAACAACGCAAAAGTCGCCGAATTCAAAGGATAGGCGAGCAAACCACGAATTTATAGGATGTTGCCTCAGAACTGAAGAATTAACAACTCACATTATTTCTCGCCACACGTCAGTGTGATCGAGATCGTCTAAGAAAGCGTGTAAACCCAGTAGCAGCCATAGCAACTGCAGTTAAAAGGAGCTACAAGTTAACCTACTACTCAAATGGTCCGTGCTACCTCAGGTGTCGATTTTATGGGCTGTTTTCGAGCTATAATGGAGATGGCAGCGTTTTTAATACAAAATGCCTATTTATGCGGTGGATGACTAACCCACTTACCTACAAATGGGCGCAAAGGTTGCCTTTTAAACAGTTCTCAAAACATCAAGGGTGAACGTGGAACGATAAAAACAGTCACGACCAGACTCTATAGAGTCAGATCTAACAAGTTTCAATGTTATTTATTGACAACGCGCTGTAATTGAACTTTGGGTGATTTTATAACCTTGATGGCTGTGTGAATAGGGATGTTTGCTTGAAGTGCCTCAAGTACGAGCTCCAATCCCCTTGGCCTGTAACATTGCACTTATACTGGTACAAATAATTTTGTCGTCCCTTTCATATGAACTGAGCTACTCGATTGGATACAAAGTAGTTGGAGCAAGGGAAGTAAAGTAGCAGCACAAACCAAAACCACAGCAATGCATTCGGGTGTCGATGGTAAAAAAGCTAGATAACAAAGTCAATGGATAAAAAATAACGCATATTGTGTACAGTTTGGCGGAGGAGAGCATCAAACACCGGTTGAGTTTCGAATATAATGGCAGTAATGGTGGCTAAGAGGAGGGTGAGGGGTCGGGATAGTTGTGCAGACTGGCAAGGGCACTAGAGAGAAGGAGCTGCTCGTAAAGAGGCATGTGCATGCCGAAACTGAGGTTTCGGAAGAAGGAATCACAGCCGCGGATTCGCTGCCAGGCGAGTTCATAGAGTTGTAGTCCGTTAATGCATGCAAATGCGTGAGCATAGTGTTCAAGTGAGTGCTCCGCCAGCCACTGACGCACCTGCTCCTCCTGCCACCCTCGCACTGCCTTTGAAGGGATCTGCTCTACCAAATAGGCTTCCAGTGGAGCAGGCAGATGAATTGTTGTAATAGCCGCAGAACTGCACGACAGTGATGCTGTATCAATATGCGGAGTGGAAGTGAAGAAGTAAGCACTCTCTTGATGTTGCCCCCGTGGACTCACACTCAAGGAGGGCAGCACCAAGCGCTCTGGAATTGCTGCTGCTTGGGCTGAAAGGAGAAGTAAAATCTTATTAGCTACGTACCTCTTCTTCAAGGCAACATTCTCCATTCCCACTCCTGAAGGATTTCTGCATTTGAATTTCATCACCACTTGTAACGAAGACAACCTGCGGTATCTGCTTATGTGGGTTGAAGGAGAAGGAAGTGGTTGCTCACCAAACTCGTGCATGCATCGCTACAAGTTCAGAGCAAATTGAACGATACCAAAATCTCATTTGTTATTTCATAAATGAGCAAC